TAAACATTAAATGGAGTTATGCGACAGGGAGGTAAGGGAGAAATGAAGGTGGAGGGTTGGATGCAGATTAGCGCTGGCCTAAATCCAAGGATGCAATCAAATAGTGCACAGAGCCACAGAGCACCGGGGTACCTGAGGACAGCTTCAGCCCAGCTCCCTAAGGACTCTGCMGGAGCCAGCATCATGCTTCCCGCTCAGTAAGGCAAGCACAGGCATAAATATCCACCTGGCCAATTTCAAGATCTTATTCCATCTGCTTGACCTCTGAGAGAGGAAACTGCTCAAGTGGAACCCGTTAATTTCAGTAAGGACCCCCTTTGGGTACTTGACAACTAACATCCTAGTCTTGAACAGGTTTGAGCACACACTTGCCATTCACACCTCAACTACATGGATCACCAAAGGCCCAGTTGCCAACCTACACTTCACACATGAGTGCCGTGTGTTTCTGGCATCCTAAATCTGATGCGTGTGTGTGGGAATTCTGAGGCAACCCTGGCTGTGTACAAGAAGTGTGCAAGACCAGAGCTGTAATCAAAAAACACATAAGTTACTGATGGTAGTGCTTGTTTCAGCCCATTTGTTTTGYTTTCTCCATTGTTGTAAAGGTTGTGACAATGGACAGAAATACATAAAAGTGAGGATGATATGTGTATTCTCTGGCCTCATACAGTCAGCTCTTAYGGGTTTTCTCACTTGGCAAAGTGACTACCCTGTGATCACTGGAGCACATAAATCCTGGCTTTTTTTTATTGGAACCTGTGTGTGGTTTTGGATGAGCAGAGAGAAAATTTCTTTTATAAGGAGGTGAGCATTATGTGATTTAAAGGGGCCATAGTTTTCATTATTTGTTGAATCTATGAGTTTTTTATTTTGTGAACATCTGAGTTTTCTGACTGCAGGTAACAAATACCTACAGTTYGTTGTAATGCTGTGACCAAAGCACAGAGTAGCCCAAAATTTCCACTGTTTGGCATACACCGGGGTCTTGAGAGCTGTGAGATTATGTTGTTTGAAGAGCCAAGAGAAAGGAGGAGTTGCGGGAGCAGTTTTCCTGTAGAGGTAAGAGCCTCAGAGTGGCTTTGTGGGCTGTGTTTGCCCTGGTGCCCAGCGTGATCCAGCTGCCTGCACCTCAGTGGCACCAGCTGGCCCCAAAGTGGCGATCAGCATTACCCAGGGCTAGCTGTGTGCCCTACTCATGGCAGGGTCTCGCCGGGGTTGGCTTAGACTGATGTCTCAGGAGCYCTCACAGGTGACCTCTGCAATCAAAGCCATCCAGGGCACTCCCAACAAGAGTAGTGGCATTGGCCAGTCAAGAGATTCACTGACACTTGTAGCCAAGTGTTGACTTTGTTGCACGCAGTTAAAAGCTGCACCCTCAGTTTGTTTGCTCATCCTCCCCCAGATCTGGCATTCCTCTGATCACGTAGTCAACTGTAGTTTGTTATTATTTAGACCAAATTGTGCCTTGGGCAAAACTGACATCACTGCCRGGCCTTATTAGGGAAATGAGGAGCAGGGTGTGGGGAGCTGGCTGCAGGAAGTGCCACTGTTTCCCACCACTGAACTGGGAGGCGAAYGCCCCTTGCCAGGCAGGTTAGTGGGGTCTGTGGTTTCAATATAGCCCTTTGCCAACCCTCTTCAGTTACAGGAGGCATTGGAATCTCACTAGGTAGAGAACTTTTGTCCTGGTTTCAGCTGGAATAGAGTTAATTGCTTTCTGGTAGCTGGTAGTAATCCAATGTGTGTTTTGGATTTAAAATTGAAGGTAATATTGATAACACTGATATTGTAGTTGTTGCTGTGCAGTGCTTACCCTAAGTCAAGGACTTTTCAGTTTCTCTTGCTCTACAAATGAGCAGGTCCAGAAGTAAACTGGGAGGGAGCACAGCCAGGACAGGTGACCCAAACTGGCCAAAGGGATATTCCATGCCACAGAACATCATGCTCAGTATGGGGGGAGATGGCTAGCAGGGGCTGATCATTGCAGGGGTACAGGCTGGGTATCAGTTAACAGGTTCTAAGCAATTGTTTTGTGCATCACTTGTTCCTCTAATTGTTATTGTTATTGTTACTGTTATTAACTTTATTTCAATCATTAAATTGTTCTTAACTCTTGAGTTTTACCTTTTTCCAATTTTCCTTCCCATTCCAACTGGAGGTAGAGGGCAGTGAGCAAGTGGCTCACTTAGCTGATGGCTGGGTTTAGAATGCAACAGCTTTTGATAGGTTGACATGCATGCTATGTGGTGTAGCCTGCTCCATTGCTATCTTGTGTTTGCTTTTTTTTCTAATTGCCATTTTAGAGAGCGATACTAACAGGGCTACATGGTTTCTGTGCATCTCTGGTAATTTCAGAATAATGGATTTAAATAAATGAAGCCTAGTCACATAGTTGTTGGTAGGTGGTAAAGTCCTTGTCTTCAAGTAGTGCWGAATTTCTTAGCTTAGTTTGGAAGAAAGTGATTAGTGAAATTTGCAATAATTATTTCATTTGCAAACTTCCTTTGCTTGCCATTTTTTCTTCTCTTGTATTTAAATATCACCTTGATGTTGCCTTATGTCTCTCACACTTYACCTTACTTTATACTCTACTGGACTTTAGCTATGTAATTCCTGTCTTTCCCTTTTATCTAGTTGTTCCTGACCTTTGGAGTTGATTGTGTAACCAGAGGTGCAAGTAATGTTTTCCCACTGAGGCTCAGACACGTCATATAAAACAGTGCCTTTAATGTCACTGTGTATCTGCTAGTTCAACCTGTAACGAGTTGCTAAAGTTAAAATGAATGAATGCTGTGAGCAGTGTATCTTACCAAGAGAAGTACTATTTGAAGAGAGTCAATGCCTGTTCCAAACACCACCACCTGTGCTGCTGATACCCAGCCATTACCTGCCTCTTCCTTCACACCAAACAGGATAACAAAAGCATTCTTACAAATGGGCTGTTTKTAAAACATGTCAGAAGCTATTTTGGTTCAGCACCTAAGAAAGGAAACTGTGTTTTTTTAAGACCTCAGTTTCCATTTTGGCACAGATTATGGATGTTCACAGAAGTATCAATAAGTGCAGRCTATGGAGATGGGCTGCTTCTCACTGAACATGTATGTGCTGTTGTCTTCTTTCTTCTTTAGACCTGGCTTTCATTTTGAGGTTAGACTTTAATTTCTGAAGAATGTCATTTAAAGCTATGTATAGTGCTTTGTGATTACCTGGAACTACTAATGAAAAAGACTTGGCACTGGCAAAATAAATAAGTAGGAGCTGCAGCTACTTCAACTCTGCTAGAGGTAATAAAAAGAGACGGTCTAAACATTTGAGTATTTAACAAGGGGTCAGAAGCAAATGAAGTGTCTGTTGCATTGCAAAAAGTTATACAGGCAGAAGTTGACAACACAGGAGGCTCCTGCTCCCTGTATTTAAAGTTTCCTTTGCCRTTTGTTTTGAGTGGGTTCAATGTTGTAGTGAATAATTTATAAGCAGCATGAATGAGCCCATTAGTCACCTTTTCAGATCTTAAGTGAGGTTTGTGGTTGTCATTACATGGGTCTTCTTTTCACAAGCATGGCAAAAGGATGGCTTGGCAGCTGCCTGGTTTGTGCTGGCACAGCCCCGACTGGCCTGTCTGCTGCTGAAACCCCAGCTCTGCTGCCCAGCACTGGTCCAATACCATGCAGGGCTTTCTCCAGTGATAGCTTATTTCTTTTTTCTTACATGTGATCTTTGGTTTGATATGGTGTTGCTTTCATGTTGGTGGTATTTCTCTTAYGGAAAAGAATATTGAAGATTGTTGACAGGTGATGTGGAATAAGTAAAACCCTCTACTTGCATACAAACAATARAAGTGACTTATCTCCTCAACTGTTCTTAAAAATTTTGTTTTAGCTGTCTTGATTTCAGCTGTGATGGAGTTAATTTTCTTCCTAGTAGCTGATAAATTCTCTGTTTTATTATGAGAATGACATGGACAACACGCTGCTGTTTAGTTGTTGCTGTGCAGTGCTTATCCTAAGTCAAGGGCTTTTCAGTTTCCCATGCTCTGCCAGCGAGCAGGTGCACAAGAAGCCRGGAGAGAGCACAGCCAGGACAGCTGACTGCAACTGGCCAAAGGGATATTCCATATCAAAGAGCATCATGCCCAGTATGTAAACTGRGGGAGATGGCTGGGAAGGGCTGATCATTGCAGGGGGACTGTGCATTGCCCAGGAGGTGGTGAGCAACTATATTGTCCATCATTTGTGTGTGCATCTGGGGATTTCTTTCTCTCCCTTTCTCGTATCTCCTTTTTCACTACTATTGCTAATGTAATATTGTACTTTATTTCATTTATTAAGCTGTTATTAACTCACAGATTTTACCTTTGTGCGAGTCTCCTTCCCATCCCACCAGGGGTGGGAGGAATGAGTGACCACAAGYGTGGTATTTAGTTGTTGGCTAGGGTTAAACCACAACATAGCCATAGCATTTTTCTGTCCTTGAAATGCTTATGGAAGTGCTAAACTGTGCTGGAACTAGCTGAACCTATGMACAAGGCTTAACTATCAATATTTACAAGACTGCAGATTTAAAGAGAAAAACATTCCCAAGATTATTTCATAGTGCTTTGGCTGTCGAGGCTCACCCCATGCTTATGGCATCCCTGAGAGAAACCTGTGGAATGTGAAATTTGCCTGCACAAAGTCTGTGAGGTACCAGATACACCGTATCTCCCAGATCATTGCAGCTGCTCCCTGAAGTTACCTGTTGCCAGAAAGACTGGGCCTGTGCCAAAATTCCAGGCAGAAATTAATGTCCCAGTGAATAAGTCAGTCCATAATAATAGTGCACTCTTGTCACCAAATAGAAGCCAAATGCTGCTTACAGGGAAACCCACCTCACAGAACATCATGTAGCAGCCAGAGGGGTGATTCTCTGGCCATAGAAGTTGCTGCTGGGATGTGCGTACTTTAGCTGTGCTTTTTTTCTGTGCCAGCTTTCCTCCTTCCTCCTGAAACCTTGCTTACCTGCTCTGCCTGATGGCTGCTCCCTTGTTCAGTCTTGGAGGCCACCTCACCTGTAGCTGTAGAGGGGAGCAGGGGACAACACAGAACCTTTCTGTAGATGGCACCGACTCTTTTTAGCCCTTCCACTGCAGTTTTTCTATGCTTTCCGTTCCTTGCCCCTTGGTGGTTTTGGTAGACTGGTCTGTAGCATTGAAAAAACACCAGGGGTAGAAGTCTGCTAATTCATTTTAGGACACTCTGCCTGTTTGCCACAACCTGCACCCTCTCAGCATCTCTTTCCAGACACCACTGTAGGTCAGCACAGCCATGCTTGTGCTTCATCCCTGCACCACCTCATGCAGGCTCTCATAACTGTCTCTGCATTGTCGCAATCTGGGAATCTGCATTTCACAGGATTTCCTCCGGGAACAGTGTTAAAGAAACGTAAAGGAAGAGTAGAGCCAAGTAGTGAATAGAGGAAAGGACCCTGGAATATCCTGGGCTACAAAGAGCTGGAAACCAAGCTGGGACTCAGTATAGTTGTGGCTAGGAAATGCACCTGGCACAAGCAAATGGTCAGAGAATAAYTGCCTTCTGGCTCACAGCAGTAGTGATGGCAAACTATTTTTAGTGTCAGTTCCCAAGAACTTCAGTTGATGAGATGTGAACACACRCTTCACTAACTGTGAGGTCCTCTTGCAACTTAATTTTGCATGCATAGATACACAAATATAGGACAAATTCCWGAAGTTATTGATGAAATCAACAGTTTGTATTCAGGAAAGCTAAGGCAGAGCTGGAGATGTTGACTTAATTTTGTCTTAGTTTTAGAAATTCCACTTGGCAGTGCAGTTTGGGAACTTTATAAAAAGAACATGGTTTTCCCCAAAACTTTTGATCTTGTCTGCAGTGCTGGCTGCTGCTTTTCCTCCACACTGCTTTTGAGAACAAAAATACAGTTGATTTCTGGTTCTGCTGATTACTTGTAAGTTTGACTTACCCCTGCCAAGTGGTGAATACTGATATTGAGAAAATGGCGGGCCACATTTTGTGGCATTACAACTTTACAGCAGATAGCAAAGTCCAAGCACCAAACTCCAGAAAACAGTTCTTTCATTTTTCACTGTCTTTAAACACTGCAACTGTACCAGAAATACTGGCTTGTATTACAGCTGATGTACCAGCTGAGTTAGTTAGGTGAGTTCAGACCAGTACAGCCATTATTGCAGAAGACTTCAGTAAAGATATGTTTATCCCAGCAATATTTTGCTTTCTACTGACTAGGCTACTAAAATAAAGCTGCATTGGCAGAAGCTTTGCTTTCYCAGTATAATGTAGGTTTGTGCTTGGAGTCCTTGTATATTGAGTAATTACACTGTGAAAGCATCTCTCATACGTCCTACATATATTAACAAACGTATGTAGGACAAATGAGCATGCATAATGCCCTCTTCCCACCACRCTCATGTACAGAAACACAATTGCTGGTGTCAGCTGGAAATAATTTTAGCACTAAGTATACACATTTTCCTAGAAGCAGCAAGTGTTACTACAATAACATGGTAAATGTGCATACATTAATTTATAAAGGAGCTCTTTAATAAAGACTGTGTATTTTATTGGAAGAAATTAACTATTTTAGCCTGTGAAACAGAAATGCTGTAGATAGTTTTGTTTGCTCACACTTCTGACAAAGCTTTGTATCGGTGCTCCTTTTCTCACAGATTCAGTTCTGTTTCTGTTTGGTTTCAGCTGCTGGGGAAAATGAGAACTTGAAGAGTAATTAAATGCAAGGCTGGGAAAATGCTTTGTAAATCAGATTCCATGAGTGAATGAGCAACAGATAGATCTAGTGGTAAGCTGGAGTAAGCTGGGCCTTCACTGCATGTGCAGCTTATAGCTTAGTTCTTGCAGTGGGTGAAGAAAGGGGAGTGCACACTTGCAAAAGCCATGGGACAGGCAGGGAAGGTACAGCTGCACTTGGAGCAGCTGCAAGGCCAGAGCTGCTCTCTTTCAGGGCAGCAGGGCACTGTTCATCAGCCCGTTAGGTGTGTTACCTGTGTACAGGGCAGGGACTCTGGCTATTCTGGTATTGTTCAAAGAGTTCAGACATGGATGTTTCTCTGCCCCAAATGCAGGCATAGTGCAAAAGACAAAACCAGGCTGGTCTGCTGTAGTTAAAAATAAAGAAGTGTTGATACTGCAGAAGAGTGCTGGGAACAGAAGTTGTGAAAGAGGAAACGAATGAACACATACTGTATTCATGATTTCATTTTTATAAGTTCTTGAAGGTGTCCAGTGTGCCTGTACTCCATGCAAGATTAAATCCATTGTTTCAGAGAAAACAAGATTAGAAATATCAAGACTGATGGGGACACACCAGTCATTCTGCATGGGGAAGAACTGGCACAAAATGAGGTGACCAGTGTATAGGTGTCAGGGCCTGAGCTATGTCTCACACTGAGGGTCTGATCACACGAATCAGCAGCCCTGTCCACATCACTCTTTAATGTACATCAAGACCCTTCAGAATTGGGAGGGGTTTTTGTACAGCTGTGTGTCAAATTCGAAATCCTAATAAGCAAACTTCGCTGGCAAACTTGCAGCAGACTTCTGGGAAGAAATCTGACTCTGATATAAAGAGAATAAACATTGACAAGGATGCCAGTCAGTAAAGACATGGTAACTGGAGACCATGTTAGGAAGARGGGCTTAAAAGTGAGAATGAATAGTGCAGGACTGTTTAAGTGAGGCAGGTGAGGCCAGAAAGGAGAAGGTAGAAGTATTCAGCCTGCTTTTGACTGGGACAGTGGTGCTGTATTTTTGGATTTAATATTACAATTATGTTGATAACACACTGATGTTTTAGTTGTTGCTGTGCAGTGCTTGCCCTAAGTCAAAGACTTTTCAGTTTCCCATGCTCTGACAGTGAGCAGGTGCACAAGAAACCATGAGGTAGCATGGCCAGGACAAGCGACCTGAACTGACCAGAGGAATTTTCCATACCATAGAGCATCATGCCCAGGATATAAACTATGGTGGAATTGGCCAGGAGGGGTCTATTACTTCTTAATGACAAACAGGGCATCAGTCAGCAGGTGGTGAGCAAATTTTGTTCACATTATTTGTTCCTCTTCGGTGTTACTTCCCTTTCTCTCCCATATTTTTACTATCTTAATCATCAACATCACTATTATCATCTTTTATTTTGTTTGAATTATAAAACTATTCTTATATCAACCCATAAGTTAAGGATTTTTTTTTTATTTTTTATTCTGATTCCTCTCCTCTCTCCTTGTGTGTGGCAGGGGGAGCAAGTGACTGTGTGGTATTTAGTTGCTATCTGGGTTTAAACCACGACACATGGTCATAATGCTAGCAAAGAAAGATGTTCCCAGCAGAGACAGAGATTGAGGGGGAAAGATGAGCCTGTGACYCTTGCTGTGCTTGTGTGCTTGATGGCTTGTGGGAAATTTTCAGGGATTCCAGTCTAGAGGAGGATAAGAGATAAAGGAGTATAGGGAGATGGCTGGAAATCCTCATTAAGTAAGATACTGCAACATCTGCAGTTGGTATTCTGAAATCTGAGTGGAAAGATTAGACTGTTGTATATTAGCCCACAAGGCTAAAGTGCAGCTCTGCGCTGTTGGAACTTCTAATCAGCCTTCAGTACGGCCAGTACTTTGGTCTTGATGTACAGTTTCATCTGTCAGTGTTACAAATCTTCTGCTAAATGAATTAGTATTATTGCTGTCTCAGAAATGGGGAAATCAACACCCTAATAAATTCGTTGTCTTGCCTGAGATTAGTTATTTGATGGCCATACATCAGTTGTTCTGCTGCTGCTGTAGTCTCCAAGCCAGCAGTTAATGTTCTTTCAATGGTGCTGTGTGAGACTGTATGCTCCTTTCTTAAATTAGTTATATTAGGTATTCCAGCAAAGAGTCAGAAGTTGGGGAGTCTTCCCAAAAGATGAGATGGCAGTGTTCACCTTGCTGCTGGTATTTTATTGCTCTGCAATTCAGCAGCTCCACTTGCTGTCGAGCTCGGGCAGCCAGCAAGAGGCTGCCGAGCACTGCTGCCTCTCATGGGGCACCTCAGCGGGGAGCCTCTGCCAGCCCTGTGACCCAGCAGTCAGTCTGTCCCCTGCTCTCCAAACCTTCCCCAGCCCCTGCTGCTGGCCCCTGTGCTTGATCATGCTGGCTTTTCTGTCTATACAGCAAATGTCTCACAGTGGCCCCTGAATGCAATCTTTAGTGTGCACTCTGGGAAATTCCTACCTGCCRTGGAAAAAAACAGTAAATTCTGAAACTGATAACATTCCACCAATGCTGATGGGGGATTTGGCCGCTAATTTTGAACAGAACTGAGCTGAATAGGCTGCATACATAATGTATTCAGGATACAATTTTCTTTGCATACTATCCTGCATCTCATGAGGCTTCCCCCTTCTCACTTCAGAAATACTTCTCATTAGCTGAATTCTTCTTGGTAGTCTTTCAAGACACTTGACTTTTATAAATGATAATAATTGCAATAAATCTCCTTGCTTGACAATAAAGAGGAATGTTGATTCACTCAGAAAAACGTCTGAAGCATTTGGAGTAAATTCAGATGGGTGGAGTTATGACTTGATAATTTAGTTTGGGTTTGAAACCAAACGGCCATGAGACAAGAACTGTGTAAACTAATGATATGCTGACTGTTGGAGTGTTAGGGCTGGTGCTGTCACAGGGCAGAAGTGCTAGTAGGTAACAATGATACGTGCTGCCTGATAGGTATTCTTCCCATTCTGCAATTCAGCTGCTGGTATGTCTTCTTGAAAATATGCAACAATGTGAAATAGCAATTCAGTGGGTAGGGGAAAGAAAGCTATCGGCAAAAGAAAGTCTTAGCTAGTTATGACAGGAATTTCTAGTTCCAGAGAATCAATGAAATGCTTTTTATCCTTCATGTTGAGAATGAGGTAGTTGTCACTCTTATCTAAAACTGTGAATTTCATGAGTGTCAAAGAGATTAAAGGAGGTAACCCATCCATTGGGAAATAATGCAGAATTCCCAAAAGGTCTTGAGGTAGTTGTCCTAACTTTTCTAAATACAACAGCTAAAATGTTTTTCTTCCTGGCTTAGTGAATTTCTGTGTCCAAGGAGGACTGCACTGGGAGGGATACCAGTATTTTACTTAAATGATATTGTTGACACATTTCTGCAGCAGACGTTTTCTATAGCAGAAGGAAAATTTATTTTAAAGTATGCTAGATCTGCAAGCCTTGTTTACCCAGAGCAGAAGACATTTGATTTTCGTGGACCAGCTACAAAACAATTCCATGTACTTGTTTTGCAGGTAGACAGGCATTCTTAAATTCTGTGCTGCAAATCACTGAAGYTACTTGAGGTCTGGCATGTAACATATAGGAGACTGTATGTTCAATTAGTGCTGTCTAGACCGGGCAACTTCTTTATTTTTAAATCAAGTTAGTTCCCTTCAATTAATTCAACTGATGGCAAGGGTTTTTTACTCAAGTTAATACTAGTTATGTCAGGGTATGATAGCAGAGGAGAAAAAGCACCGTTTTTCCTAATTGAGTCAACCCTTCTTTTAAAGCATATTTACTTAAAGAAGCATTCCCTCCCCCCGTCGGCAGTTACTGCAGATTTYTGCAGCACTGTTCCTTACTGTACACCGCGGAGCCAGACCCTCAGCAGTGGCCGTATTTGCACGATGCCCAGCAGCGGAGCCGCCGTCCGGGAGGGATCCCGCCCCTGTCGCTGCCGCACGCTCCCGCAGGGCCCGGCTCCCGCTCACATGGCGGGGCAGGTGGCTGGCTCCGGCTGCCGGACTCGTGTGCGCCGCCGGCTCCGGCAGGTTCGCCCATCCTCGGCAGGAATTACCTGCCCACTGGGAGGGTGTTGAAAGATGCSTCCCCCGCTCCTCTTGCGGGAGAGGTAGAAGAAGCAGGGTTCCGCTGTGCTAAGCCGTGGGCTCCTGAGGTTCGTCGGTGCCTTCGGTGCCCACCGCGGTTCAGCCGGGGTCGGCCTGGCCGGGCGGGGGGTAAAGGAGACTCGCACAAGTGGGAGCGCCGGGGCTGCCGGTTCGGGCCGGCAGTGCCGCCGGTTCTCTGCGCATCGGGACTCACCGAGCGCCACCCGCCTCCTGCCCGACCTCGGATATCCACCCGCCCCCGCCAGCGCCGCCGGCCCGGCACGACCCCGACGCCGGGCGAGGGCCGGGGTGGGCGGGCGCCCTGCAGGAGGGCACGGCCGGGTCCCCGCCGCCGGCCGGCAGGAACCGCCGCCCTCCCCCACCGCCAGCGGCCCTCCCTCCCTCCCTTCCGCGGCTTCTCCCGTCGCGGCTGGCCCAGCCCACGTTTTCCCTCTCTCCCCTCCCTCCGTGGTCATGTGTCGCCTTTTTTGTTTGCAGTGGAAACAATTTCTCGCTCTCGGGCTCGCACCGAGGCGGACCGCTGCCCGTCGGGAGCGCGGGGCGAGCGCGGGGCGGGCGCGGGGCGGGTGGGCCCCATGCAGGCGGCGGAGCCCCGTGCGCCGGGACCCCCGCGGCACCCCTGGGGCTCGGGCTGAGGTGGGGGCGCGCCATGCCCGGCTCCGTCAGATGAAACTTTGTGCCACTGCCATGAAGGGACCGCGGTGAAATCGCCGCCCCCCGCCAGGTAAGTTGTGGTTGTTGTTGTTGGCGGGGGTTGCGCGGGGCGGTGCGGGCCCGCCGCGGGGAGAGGCGCGGTGCAGTCCCGCCCGGCTCGGCCCGGCCCAGCTCCGCGCCACAACTTGGCCGGGAGTTGGTGCGCGGCCCGGCGTGCGGGCCGGTGACACCTGGCCGGCATTGGCGGGGTGCGCGGCGCGCGCCGCCCGGCCCGAGCAGCCCCGGTCGCCTGGCAACGCCATTGATTGGCTGCGGCCGCGGCCAATGGGCGGCCGCCCCCCCGCGGGCGGGTGCGGTGGGAGCGCGGGCGGGGGCCCCGCCTCAGTGCGCCCCCCCTGCCCGGCCGCGGCGGGCGCGTGTGAGAGTCGCGTCCGCCGGAGCTCCCGGGGGTTCAGCGCGTTCGTCCGGCCGCGGCTTCGCCCCTGACCGGCGCTCCTTTGTCTGCCGCTGGGGCGCCGCTGCATTCGCTACGGGCCTCGCTGGCAGTACCCCCGTACCCCCCAGGTGTGGCCCCAACCGGGCCCCGCCGCGCGGGGGCAGCCCCGGGCACCCCGCCCGCTCGCGGCGGCCCCGCGGGGAGACTCTCTTCGGCTGGGCTACGCCGGACTTCCCTGCCGGCTCTCCATGCCGGCCCGAGGGGGCTCCGCGGGGCCGCGGCCGCCCGGTCACCCCCGCTGCCTGGAGCGGGGAAAGAGACAAGGGGGAAAAAAATTATGGAGTGATACGGCCCTTTGGGAGGATACTGGCAAATAAGGAAATTAAACAGAAAGAGAGCAGCATGTTGTCATAGCAACAGTGCAATTAAATTACTTTACTGTCAGCCATCATATAATTTTCCTGTTTAGAAGCTCATGGGACAGAACTTCCATTTGGAGTCAAAGTTGAGTGTGCGGCGTAGGTAGGCAATGGCACTGCCCCTGGACGCTGGCGATTCCCTTGTTTACTTTCTGGTTGCGCTGGATGCAGTTTTGAAAGCTAGGAAGTAGGGCCGACGCAAGTGTGGCCTCCTGGTGCTTGTAACTGCTTCAGTATTTTTTCCTTTCCCAGGTACTTACTCAGTGTAAAACTGCACATTTTCACTGAGTATGCCGAGAGTGTTGATGGGCTTCTGTGGAGAAAAGTTCTGTGTGTTTCATTTTTACTAATGTGTGCTTCTGTGTAACTTGCTTATAGGAAGACCCAAAGAACTTAAAAGTTTTCATTTTTGCCTTTATGACACCTAAAATAAAGTCCATTATTTCTCTTTCTCATAATGGTTGTGTTGCTCTATTTTTTTCTACAGATAGATACTTCATTCTGTTGTTACCTGTAGGTTTTTTTTTGCCTTTCATTTATAGTATCGACTGTGTGACTGCATGACTTCAAGTAACTGCTGAGGTTTTGTTTTAGGTACAGAGAATCATTTTGTTCTTGTTCAGTGTTTGTGCAGAAAATTTCATCAGTTTAAAATCTGTTACTAACTCTCTCCAGTTTTTGTTCCACTGCTGTTCACATCTCCAGACCTAAATCCTGGTAGTCTGTATGTAGAAGCTAAGGGAGCATGTCTCCTGCTTTTGAAGTAGAATTGTTGAGCTTGTCTGCTTCTCTCACGTTGGGCAGGGGCCCAGCTTTGCTTCTGAAGTGCTCAGGTCATCCCAAATATTACTGCTCACAGGTGTCCCCCYAGGGCCTGCTGATGCAGTACCCTCTGCAGCTCATCCTACCTCTTGCAGGACATTGTTGAGCATCACAGCACTCATTATGACTCTTGTTTTCTACCATGTTTGAAATACAGTTCAACTTATGTTAAAATCTTCTCTGTTTACATACATTTTTAAAGTGCTCTGTTGCTCTGGCACTTGTTTCCCCATGTCTTGGCCCTGGGCCCAAAACTACCGGGTATTGCTTTCCCTCCTACTTTCTTCTGACCTTGCTGGTTTTGAAGTTCTACTCTCACAAGTTTTGGTGCAGCCAAGTGAGATTGGACGTTTGTCTGCCTCAGCCTTTAGCCAGAGTGATTTTAATCGTGATGCTGTTGTATTGTCCTCAAATGTGAAACAGCTGAAATTAATCTGAAGCAACTGGCCTTAAGTCACTCTTGGTTTTTTTTTTTAAGTCGCATGCTTATTAAAGTGATACAATTGGAGTATTCAATGATTTCAAAACACCTATTCATCATTAAAAAGACATGTCTTTGGGATTTCCTTTGTGGGGCTTCACGTACATGCAGATCTGAGGTGTATCTGGATTATCATCTTACTCCATCTGAAGTTTTTTCCCTTTTGCTGACTTTAGATTATTTTACTCAACAGAGTGTTTTGTGAAACYGTCATGTTTAATACAGATGGCAAAAGGCCAAGCGACCAGTTAAGGAGAAGCTGTCAAAATGTTGCACAGGACCCTTTTATGAGCTAACTTTTCTCTCTGTTTCTTTCTCCCTTTTCTTTGGATTCACTCTCCYAGGAGCTGCTGTCTAAATGGGTCCAGTCATGCCTCCCAGTAAGAAGCCAGAGGGCTCAGGAATTAGCGTTCCCAGTGGATTGAGCCAGCGTTATCAAGATAGTGATTTATCAAAGGCACTTCACGATGACGAGGACCTAGATTTCTCTTTGCCTGCCATCAGATTAGATAAAGGGGCCATGGAAGATGAAGAACTAACTAATTTGAACTGGTTACATGAGAGCAAGAACTTGCTGAAAAGCTTTGGGGACTCGGTGCTAAGGAGCGTTAGCCCTGTTCAGGACATCGGTGATGACACGCCGCCGTCTCCTGCCCACTCTGACATGCCCTATGATGCCAAGCAGAACCCCAACTGCAAACCTCCTTATTCCTTTAGCTGCCTCATATTTATGGCCATCGAGGATTCGCCAACCAAAAGACTGCCTGTAAAGGATATATACAACTGGATCTTGGAACACTTTCCTTATTTTGCAAATGCACCCACTGGATGGAAAAATTCTGTGAGACATAATCTATCCTTGAATAAGTGTTTTAAGAAAGTGGACAAAGACCGAAGTCAGGTGAGTTTGGAACTATGAAAACCTGCCTGACTCTGAAAATATTCACCTGCTAATCCCTGATCATGCCCTTAATAATGAAGTACAGAATGTGCAACGCTGTGCCTGGTAATGTAGTTGATTAAGTTCAGAGAGCCAGCATTTCTTTAGCATTGCTCATTCTGATTTTATTAAATTCATTGTCTAGACATCTGTAAGAAAGTACTCGGTGTGCGTTTTTTTTCCCCCCAGCTGGTGTCTTCATGCGTAGTGGTTAAATATTGTTTTTAGTTATCGTGCTGTGGTAATGGTTTCCAGCTATACTAGATGAATGTAATCATGTTATAAATAGGCTGCTTGCTGTTCTTGGCTTATACAAATGTATAGTGAAAGGGTATGCCTTATGTAAGAGTCCATTGCTGTTGCCCTGGTCTGTGTTGTAATCCAAAAAAACTTTTCTTTCTTTTACACAAATAGGCCAATGGTGATGAAGCGTTTTTCCGTTTCAGGCGATTTTTAGAGAAATCATTCCAAGAGAGGAGACAGGTCTGGAATCAGAGGTGAAGGTTACCATTTACCAGAATTTCTGGTGTTCTCTGGACTCATGTAACTTCTGCAGCTGGTGCAGAGCAGAAGCCCTGGGAGCACATCTTTGCTTTCAGATCTCAATTGTTTTCTCCTGGTTTCATCACTGATTCCCCAGCGTCTGCAGGAAGAGGCTGTGTACGAGGGAATGGGGAAGCAAACAGAACGGTGGAGGCAGTCCCTTGCATAGCCTTCTACTCTGTCAGTCTGCCTGGGAGCAGGAATCAGTTTCTGAAGGGGACTTTCTCAAGGAGCAGTGGTCCAGATGAATCTTTGGCAAAGTACGAGTATACTGATAAAAATATCAGCTTGCAGATTAATTTCAGAGGACTTCTCACAGGTTAGGGAAATAAAAAGCAGGTAAAATCACATCACTCGTCATTTGTCTCTAAAATTGGCTGAAGATCAGAAAGTGAACACTTTCCCCTGGCAGAAACAATAGATGCACTCAGCTTTTGTATTTCAGTGATATAAATGCCGTGATTGTCTTGTAACTTGTTACCCTGAAACTACACTGCTCTTGGTGGTGCTGTTCTCCCTATTTTGTGTGCAATTTAACTTCAAAAGCTGTGGAATAGAAGCTCAAGTAACTCTAGAGGAAGAGGCATACACTATTTTGAACTAGCTGCTTTTTATTTTAGATTGGTTAAATTTCTTTTCTCTGGAGCTTTCTGTTTCTAAAGGAYTGACATGTCTGTTTTTCTTTTCTTTCTTTTTAAAAAATACTATTACCTAGAATCTGCTGTCGCCATATTGCTGTTCACACACTGTATGTTGGTATTTTTATCAACTAATTGCTATGAAATATTGTGTGTGAGATTAAAAAAACCTGTTCCTGAACTGGATCTTGTTTTGTGTTAGCCAGAGTCTTAAATTCTGGTTTTGAGGTGAGACTATAATAAACACCATGCCAGACTTTTATGATCATGTCCCAGACTGTAAGAAGTCTTCACACAAAGCATTTAAAAACTACCAAAGTACTGCAACTGGCAAGGCATGTGTTTAATGCCGCCATTTRTGTTTTGTTCTGTCCCTCTTCCTCTGTTTACGAGCTGACTATTTAGATTTCACCTTCCTTCCTATGAGGAACTTGTCTTCACGTCTATCTGTCAAATATCCGGCCTTCCACTGAGCTCATCTGAACAATACCACACCGCGCTGCTGCTCCACGGGGAGGTGGCACAGCACAATGCATGACTGGTCACCTACATCTCCAGTTCGTGATTACAGCTATGGTTACATAGCTAGACAACAAGGCGTGGTGGGAGGCCTTGCTTGTGTGAATAACAAGGTGGAGTTTTATTAATTCCTGGAAAATCCCAGATTATGAGAAAGGATTCTTCCACTTCCTAAAGATGTTAATAGCTGCAGGTAGCCAGTTTTAAGGTGAGTGAGATGGGAATCTCAAACGTAAAATGCACCACAGCAGGTCATTCAAGTACCCTGTTGGATTTTTCTCCTGTCCCAGCCAAGGGATGTGGCAGACAGAGTTTTGAGTGCAGAATTGGCCCTGGGTCAGAGTTGCTGAATCAGGTGCTTGACAAGCTAATTGTGGACTTGGAAAGCAGTAAATGTCAACTGATGGCTTTGAAAATACCTTCGTGTGTGTGCATGCACACTTGGGGTTGATTTGAGTACCTTGCAGTAAATATCTCTGCTATTCAGAAGGAAGATGTCCATCTAAAGGGCTCTCTGGCTTTTTGTATGGGGCTTGGGGCAGGGGAAAGGGGGCTTTCATCTGCAAGGAATCATTTTATGCCGCTTCTCCTTTGCAGACAGTTTTTACAAATTGCAGGTTTGGAGTCAGCCTGTTTTACTGGTTTTGCATGGGAAAAAACCCCAGYATTTAGCAAATGGCATGTTATGCAATGCTAGCAAGATGGGCTCTGAAACATGTACAGCATGGGGAGAAAGAGTTAATCAGTGTTAGGAATTGCAGGCATTTGCTGGTTGATGTGAGTTGACACATTATGAAAAGCTAGAAGCTTTTCCTCTCATAGTTGTGCTTTCCAGTGTTTGTTTATGTAGCTTTTCAATAATCATTTTTTCCAAAAAAAGTTCTGCTGAACACTTAATTCTATTTTGAATTCCCTCTGCGTAGTAGTTTTCTCAGTTTTGGGTTCCACTAGTTTATATTCGTGGGGCTAAATATGCATATAATAGTCTGCAGCTTTTTCTGCCAGCATATGAATACTTGAATTTCCTGATGTGAGATCATTGTAACAGAGAAGAAAAAAAAAAGAGAGGCTTCGTTACTTTGGTTTTTGGCTTGCCCTGTCCCGGTGCTTTTAGGTCTGGTGTGGAATCTTGGGAAAAGAGGATTTGGTTTTACACTGCTGCTATTCCACTTCAGCAGCAGTGCCATCAGGCTTACCTGGCAAACCAAAAGCATGGCTGTTCGTGTAACTGCAATGAGGCTGATCTGGATTGAGACAAGAGAGCTGGGCTGAAGAAGGGAAAATGCTGAGCCTTTAACTGTACAAACTTCTTTGCATTGAGCTCAGCAGTTTAACAATAGTTGGCCAGAGTATGAAGTTATCACATGATGGAGAGTAGATGCGGAGTTCCCTGGCTTTGTTTATACTGCCAGACCTGTGAATTCACTTGTTCAGATTAATCCTATTGTCAACGTACAGATCTAAATGTCCTGTAGTCTGTGTCCTACTTAGTACAGCCTGTTAGTCCGTGACTTCCCTACCATCTGGTCCTTGGCTATAGAGMGGAATTTTTCTTGTATATGTGTCTCCATAGCAACGAGTTTGCAGTTGATATGGAAAGTAAGCAGTTGCCCTAGCAACAGAGTTACTGATGTGGCAGCTTCTCTGCTTGCAGGGAAAGGGCTAAGCTAGTTCAGACCCATTATGTAGCTTTGCTGTGATTATAGCTGTGCCCACTAGTGCTGCTTGAACTAAAGGGCGGCAGAAAAATTTTGTTACAAACCCTGTTTTTGGCTCCTTTGAAAATTTGCTTTATTTGTATAGGGATTCCTGCTTTAAACAAAGGCTGGTAGGATTGTCTTTCCAGGGTGTGTGATATGTGTGTGCCAGTTATGAATTCAAACTACCTCAGTCATCGTTATCGGATGAGGGGAAATGATGTTTGACCTCGCTGTCTTCGCTGCAGTATTTTTGTCTCAGTGAACAGCCCATGGTTATAAACGCTGGAGCTTTTGTCCCCTTGCTCCTCTCTGCTATTCTGGTTTTTCCCTGGTCTATGCTTCTGTGGGCATCCATCCTATCAAGAGGGCTCCTCTTTTTGTCTGCTCTGTGTTGTCTGAGATAGGGAAACATGCACATACTTCTTRGCTGTGTGCACACTGAAGAAATTCAAGCATCTTAAAGGTTTATTTGGCACTTACGCTGAGGGACGTCTTAATAAAAATGTAATGAGGGTAAAGGATATGTTTATGAGGATGGGAAAAGAAAATTCTCCTGGCTTGATGTGGAAGTTATTCTTAGAAGTACGTGGTCCATAACTGGGTCATGAAGATCCAGCCAGGCTCCTCCTCCGTCTGGAGCAGGCTCTGAGATCTGAGGACTCCCGAGTGGTCCTTGAGCTTTGTGAGAGCTAGTGTCCAGCTTGTCCTCGTCTAATGCACTGTCTCTCATAAATGCTCTGCCAGGGCATCTTGACAGGAGCCGTGGGGAACCCTTTGGGCACAGGAGACTTTTCAGGAGTGCCTCCTGCAAATGTCTTTCCTCTGATGTAATAATGTCTGGGCTTTTGACAGGTAAAATTGTGTGGAAAGATCAGTGCTGGCTGGAGTGAAAGGAAAGGGACCCTACTTGTTCTTTGTTAAAATATCCTAATCTAATCTTCTTATGCACAAAGGTGAGGGAGATGGGACTCCCTTCTCCCTCTTTTAATGTTGTTGATAAGGTTTCCTGTGAAAGTTCAGTGTCATACTGGGGATAGAAATAATCTCCTCTGTTTTTAATGTTATCACCTAGACTGATCCAAGTAACAGAAGTGTCAGAATTTCAATGCTTTTATAATATCTGATGAAGCTAAAGTGAAAAAATACCAAAAACTAAACCCAACAAAACAGCTCCTCAGAGTCACATTAGAGGCTTCAGGTGATATTAACTTCATTAATAAATTAGTGTCCTAAATAAGCTGGTGCAGCTTTTAATTTCTTTAATCATTAAAAGGATATCTTGTGGTTTTAAGCTGGAATTTATCTAGTTTAACTTGAAATTCATTTTCTTATACTTCTGTCATACTGAAAAGCTTTCTAATATCAGAAATTTTCTTCTTAAACTGGTATGCGGAGAAACAAGGGTCATCTCTTTAAGAGAAATTWTAAGTCTCTAGAACTGTACTGCAAATGGAGTTTCAAGATACTAGACAATTTATGGAGAACTTTCCTTGAACTCTTTCAGTTTTGTTTTTGAATTGCAAACCCCAGAATTATACAGAATATTTAAATAATAGATTTC